AACCCTGTCTCTACTAAAAATACAAAAAAATTAGCCAGGCGTGGTGGCGGGTGCCTGTAGTCCCAGCTACTCGGGAGGCTGAGGCAGGAGAATGGGTGAACCCGGGAGGCGGAGGTTGTAGTGAGCTGAGATCGCACCACTGCACTCCAGCCTGGGTGACAGAGTGAGACTCCATCTCAAAAAAAAATAATAATAAAAAATAAAAATAAAATAAAACGGTGGTTGCAGGGAGCTTAGATGGGTGATAACATATATTAGGTTGGTCATTTCCTGGGGTACATACCTTGTACTGAGTGGCATTGTACAAATAAGTTCCTTTTAACATTCCTGTATATTCATAATAACTATAGAACAGAAAGATTGTTTTAATTTGCTGTCCTATCTGAGTGACTTGATGAATACACTGGGAACAGTCCTTAGTTTGAGGAAGGTCAGTTGAAGCCTTTACTGTACAAGTCTAAAATTTAAGAAAAATGAGTCCCGTGATGAGCCTCCTCATGCTCCGGCCGTGTGTAGACCAGTCAGCTTCCGGGTGTGACTGGAGCAGGGCTTGTTGTCGTCTTCAGGGTCACTTTCAGGGGTTATCTGGGCTTGGTCTTGCCTCCCAGGTTTCAGGTGCGGGTTTTACACAGCAGTGGTGGATACAGGCTGGGATTCCTTCTACCTTCACGGCAGTGGGTGTGGTCAGGATGACGGTCTGAGGTCCTTTCCACTGTGAGCGCAAAGGGGCTACATTGCAGTCCTTGATCCACACTCGATCACCTGGGGAAAAAGAGTGAACTGGGGAGAATAAGCTAACGGGGCATCTCTCATTTACCTAGGCTGAAATCGTTTGTGTAATTTTTCCTAAGGCCTGTAGCTGTCTCTGTAACTCAATTTCACCTAACTCTGGGGGAGTGCCCGGGAGTCCCCGTAGTATGGGAGGGGGTCTATGATATAATATTTCATAAGGGGAATATCCTGTTCTCTCAGAGGGAGGGAGTACATCTAGTCTTTAACAATACCGTAGGGAGAACCTTATCTATTTTAATCCTGTTTCCTGACACACTTTCCTTAAGCTATTTTGATAGTCCCATTCATCCGCTTCACCTTTCTGGAACTCTGAGGTTGGTAGGCAGCACGTAGTTTCCATGTGATTTTTAATACCTTTGCCATCTTCTGTACTGAGTCAGCCACAAATGCCGGCCTGTTATCTGAGCTGATCCGTAAGGGCAGTCCAAATCCAGGAATAAGATCTCGAAGAAGCACACGGGTTACTTCATGAGCTTTCTCAGTTCGTATGGGATAAGCCTCCACCTACCTAGAGCGGGTACACACGGGAACGAGTAAATACTTGTTACTTCTACACTGGCATTTCTGGGAAGTCCACCTGGAGATCTTGAAAGGGGGCTGCTTTGCACTCCATGCCGGCGGAACGGCTGAACCCTGCCTCGCATTGTGCTGTCGGCAGGTAACACACCACTGCGCCATGGTTTTGGCAAGGGCTGACAAATGCCAGATGTAGAAGTACCAGCCTGACAACTTTTGAAGTGACTCCTGACCTAGATGGGTGGTTTCATGCACCCCCAGTACAACTGTGGCTCCTAGCAGCTGTGGCACACCTACTCTCCTATTTGGTAACCGGATCCTTCCTTCTTCCATCACGTGTCCTCCCTCTGCCTGGAGAAAGCCTTTTTCTTATTTAGAATAAGTAGATACAAGGTCAGGTGCTTGAGGGAGCAGGGGGGCTGTGACTGATGCCCAGCTTTTCGAGCTTCTGAGTCAGTTCTGGGGTTCCCTAAGGTAACCGAGGTGGAGACTGCCACCTTGTGGGGTTTCTGTACTGCTTCTAGTAATTGCAAGATTTTATGTCTTTTTCTCCAGATTTCAACAGGCCCTTTTCTTTATATAATGCTCCATGCACTTGGAGGGTTAAAAAGGCATACTGAGAGTCAGTGTAAATGTTTCCAGTCTTACCTCCACTGAATTCTAAGGCCTGAATTAAAGCAAAGAGCTCAGCTTTCTGAAGTGCCCTGGGGCAACGCTCTGGCGTCAACGGCAGTGTCCAGGGTTACCACCGCATATCCTGCACATCTGTCTCCTTGTGGGTTGACGAAGCTGCTCCTGTCCATGTATGGCTCCCAGTCTACTGATGCCCAAGGCTGGTCCCGGAGGTCAGGCCTGCTAGAGTAAACTGAGTCCAACACCTCTACACAGTTATGCTCGACAGGGCTCTCTGATACCGGGAGCAAGGTGACGGGTTCAGGGTGTTACAGACTTCAGTGGTTATGCAGAGATTTTCACAGAGCAAGCTTTGGTACTTGGTTAGTCTAGCATTCGTTAGCCAATGATGTCCTTTGGTAGTCATTAAAGTCACCACAGCATGGGGGGCCTTTATGTTCAGGTTTTGCCTAAGAGTTAGTTTTTGTGCTTCTTGTACTAGCAGGGCAGTTGCTGCCAAGGCCCTCAAACAGGGGGACTAACTGTAGAGGACTGCGTGCTCACAAATGAGATGTTCCCGATAAGCCCTGCTCTTGCAAACAAAGCAGGATATTCCTTCTCTGCAAAAAGGAAGGACAAAGGAGCCAGCTATAAACAGCGGGCTCTGGGAACTGGTCAATGTTTACTGATCTTGCGAGTCAAGGAAAGGTCAGAGAAGCAACACATGCCCGGTGACTTGGCTACATTCCACAAACGGCTGTATAAAATAAAGCAGAGTGTGCCGTTCAGGGTGGCCGCCGTGTATGTCTTGTCCTGTGTTGTCTTGTATGTTCATTCCTTTGTTTAGGAAACATGCGGACCCCAACACTAACCTTTGGAAACCCCATCTAGTTATTTAGAGAGTTAGGCCACTGGCCTCAGCCAGTGCCCCACAGTTTGGGTCAAAACTTTACCTGCCATCTTTTCTCTCTCGGAAACATATGGTGTAAAAGGCTTTGTCAGATCAGGTAACCCCAGGGCTGGGGCCGACGTAAGATTTTCTTTTAACTCATGAAAGGCCTGCTGTTGTTGGGATCCCCATTCAGAAGGCTCCTGGTCCTACCCATTTGTGACTCCGTACAGAGGCTTGGCAAGTCCTGCAAAGTTTGTGATCCACGATCTGCAGAACCTCAGAGCTCCTAAGAATTCTTTCACCTGTTTTCTGGTTTTAGGGTTCAGTAGGTTGCAAAAGACCCGCTTTCTTTCTGATCCCAGGCTGCACTCCCGCTGTTGGATAGTAAATCCTAGGTAACATACCTGCTGTTAGCAGATTTGGGCTTGCTTCTTGGACACCTTATACCTACAGTCCTCCAGGGGCTGGAATAGGGCATCCGTCCCCTCGGTGCACCTGACTGCCATGGGGTGTCCAAGCAGAATGTCGTCAATGTACTGGAGCAGCACGCAGCTTAGGCCTCTGGTGGGAAACTTCTGGAGGTCCTGAGCCAGTGCTTCCCCAAAGATGGTGGGGGAGTTCTTGAACCCTTGCAGCAGCTGGGTCCGAGTGGTGACACCTGACCCTAGATCTTCCTACTGAAAGGCAAAGAGCTTCTGGCTCTCAGGGGCTGGTCTAATGCTAAAGAAAGCATCTTTCAGGCCTAAGCGGGAGAACCAGCTGTCCTCAGCTGGCAGCAACCTTAACAACGTGTACGGGTTAGGTACTGTTGGATGTAAAGTCACTGTAGCTTGATTGACTAAGTGCAAGTCCTGTACCGGCCTGTAGTCCTTGGTCCCTGGCTTGGGAACAGGCAGGAGGGGAGGGTTCCATGGAGACTGACAAGGGACTATAATTCTAAAGGCTCTCAGGCTCTTGAGATGGACCTGGATACTTTCAAGAGCTTCTCTGGGGACCGGGTACTGTTTTTGCCTGAAAGGCCTGGCCCTACACTGAACTTTTATAAGTACAGGGGATTGGTTAACTGCCAACCCTGGAGGGTTGTCTTCTGTCTACACCCTTGGCCACTGCTTAGCCAGAGTTGGTCTTTTTTTTTTTTTTTTTTTTTTT